ACGTTAACGATAGTAACTCATTTATACTTATTTATAGATACCGTCTATAATTTATATTTTCTAGTCACATCCTTCGGGTTTGGTGCCATTTTCTCATAATTTATCATATGTCTATTTTAGGCCAAAGGTCACCAAAAAAAAATATAGTTTTTTTATTTTCTGTATGCTTTATTCAACGTTTCGGCTTCAGGAGCCATTTTCAAGAACCATGCACTGCGCCATAAAACTTTTTAAATTTTTAATATACAGGACTGTATGAATGCCCTATTGAAGAACAATAATTTCTTGATACCGTCTGCAAATAGAGAAACGGAAAACGACATTCTTTGAAATAAAAGAATCAATTAAGGACGAATCATATCGCAATGATAAATTTTAAAAATTTTATGGCGCGGTGCATGGTTCTTGAAAATGGCTCCTGAAGCCGAAACGTTGAATAAAGCATACAGGAAATAAAAAAACTGTGTTTTTTTTTTTGGTGACCTTTGGCCTAAAATAGACATATGATAAATTATTATTTATACTTATATATGGTGTCTTCAAGGAATATTTAAGCCCTTATACATTAAAACTTTTATTCCACTTCTTTATAGTGCTATGCATTGGTTAGTTTCTCAACAAGTGTTTTCACGTCATTATATCCATATATTCAAATTTACTAAATATATTTCCTTACTAAGAAATAAAAAAAACAAAATCCGCTTCAAACGATGTTTCGAGCTGATTGTCTCATTCTCAAGTCATCTACAAATAACGATTAACAAAGATAGTTTACAACAATCATCCTTCATTATTTAGTCATTTAGGAAGTGAGAAGTTACCAAAAATTTTTAACTACGAAAATTGTTATTTGTTATTGTAGATGACTTGAGAATGAGCTAATCAGCTCTAAACGTCGTTTGAAGTGAAATAAAAAATTTCGATTATAAGAGTTTATATGTTCCTCCTTATATTTCCTTCAAGACACCATACAAAAGAACATTGAGTGCCCTTGAAAAATACTACTGTATTGATTTATAAAGTTCATAAACATAAGTTTAAAAAGAAGAGGTTGTTGGAATACGAACGATACAAGATAGACAATTATTATGGAAATAAATATATAAGCTATTATAACATACTCTAGAAAAAAGCAAGAACTTCATAAACTTACCAATTTAAAATATTTCAGTTGAATTTTCAATATAATTTCTTTATACTTAAGACCATACTAACATATACATAATTTCTACAATATTTCCTCCACGATAAAATTTTCTCAGTTTGGCAGTGATGCGGAATTTCTTGAATTTGTCCAGTCTTGGTCGAAGTATCGTAAGATTCAATCATGGCAAACACTAATATATAGGGACCATTTATTTAATTTTATTGTATTTTCACACAAAATAAAAAGCTAATTATTATATATTATAATTTTCACAAATATGTAATAGGATATCAGAAATAAGTAACGATAGAAAATCACTTAATACTTTAAGATACAAAATTACAGGAATAATTAATATTTATTTATTTATTTTTGATAAGTTAATACGAATATGTAACAAAAAAAAACAACTTTAAATATAGGTTGCAAATAAATTTTTTTTCAGGGTGGGAGTAGGCAAAATCTAAAATTTCTCGAAAATTTCTTTTATTAAAACAAAATATCCTAATAATGTCAATATTTAGAAACACATTTCATTTAAAGAAAATTTTTTCAGCTTTCACAAGTACCTATCGCAATTCTGTTCAAGAAATAGAATTGGAAATGGCTTTTCCAAGACAAAGAAAAAATGTAAAAGACTATATATACAAATACAGAGAAATCCCGTCCCAATTCATAATATATATGTTCAGAATTTTCATGAAATATTAAAACCCCCATATAACTATAAATATATATATATATATATATATATATATATATATATATATATATATATATATCTTTGTAAAATAACTCCAAGATTATTCCCGTAACTTAAATAGATAGATGGAGTTACAAGGTTTTGGTAGAAAATCATCTATATATTTTTATTGAAGTTAGTCGAATGTTCAACATATCATGGGTGATAAATATTCAGGATACTGGAGTACTGGAGTACTTGAACACCCTCACTGCATAAACACGCCCTCAAGATGGCCCACATGTTTGGGTTGAAACGTTGGCAAAAATAAAAAATAAAATTTAAAAAAGACTGCGTCCTATTTATCACCCATTATATATTTTTATTAATATACTTCTATGAATGGCGCTGGATTAGGTAGAATCACAATAAATCTTTGAAAAAATATCTTGGGCCTGCATTGTGTACCTCATTATATTTTTAAATACATTTATTCGCATAAAAACCTTAAATTTTATATTTTAACTCCTATTACATTTTCGTAAGTATAATAATACATAAGTATTTTACTTAATGAAAACAAAAAAAGTCAAACATCTAAATTCTACTAATAAAAATTATTAGTAAATAACAATATATTTATATATAAAAATGCATACAAGATAAAAATAAATATTATTTCAGTTTTATTAACTAAAAGTTATTATTAATTTTATCACTATCTCTTCAGCTAACTTGAGAAAAATAAATACGGTGACCTTATTAATTATAGCAGGTAGTTAATAGAAGACTACAAATAATGATAAAATAGTTGTGACAGGGCTGGCAATGCTCATCACAAGTATTTCGCCGCGTTAAGTTGCTTACGTCATGAACCGGCTCCATTATTCGTCTTTAGGTTTTATTTTCCAAACTCTGCACTTTATTTTCCATTTACGTCTCGGGCTTGATAGCCTTAAAGGAATTTTCAAAGAGGCGGCGGGAGTATTGCGGCCACAGCATTATCTCTCATTACGTTTTCCACTCAATTTATGATTACGAACTGATCTAAGATCTACATGACAACATAATAAGATTATATGTCTTTAAATAAACCATTAGAGTCTGTTGACTAGAGTTTTAATTACGGCCATAAAAATGAGTTAACTTCGAATGCAATAGCCATATTTTAGAGGGGAAAAAATACAAGTGACTAGTAACATAACATAAATAACATTAAAGAGCTGTTTAGAAGAAACGATTTTCCTTTTGACCGATGTTGGTTTATTTTTGGCATGAAGCCTTTGATTAAACAAAATAAAAAAAATTAAATTAAGTAACAGTTCACTCTTATATTTCATCTTCAGATTAGAAATAAGAAACATCTTTGTTATTTTTATTTATATATTTTCATTACATGTGTTTTTTTTAATAATAATAATAATAATAATAGAAAATAACTTTATTCTGGGACAAAGTCCCTTTAGAATAACAAAATAGAACATAATTAAAATACTACATCTGGCCAAAATAAAACAATAATAAAAAATAGAAAGTAAAGAAAGTATTAGTTAAACAAGCTATATACAAAAAAAAAAAAAAAATATATATATATATATATATATATATATATATATATATATATATATATATATATATATAAATGTTATAACTTATAACATCAATAACAGATTTGCCAATTTTACCCGTATCTCATCCTTCTATCATCTAATTTAAAAGAGTTATCATAATTTTTATTTTTACAAATCAATCCTGAAAATGTAATAATTTTTTTGTGTTATATGATTATTTTTATGTAAGTAGCATAGATTTTGTAATGAAATTATTTACCTCAGTTATGTTGTGGACTCTTCTAGGGAGAGCCTAGTCAGACACTGTCATAAGTTATAAAAATATATATTACGAAAATATATAAATACAAATTACTAAAACGTTTCTTGTTTCTGGTCCTTTATAAATAATAATAATAAAAGAAACAGATTGCCATGTCATAGCCTTATGAATTTTTAAAATCCACGTTGCCTTTATTATGGTGGACTGTCAAGTGGTATAAAACTATAAACTACGGCTCACTAATACAGATTACAAGAGAAGTTTCTAAGCTGAAAGCAATAAACACAATCGAGATCGGTCGATGGTGCGTGAAAACATCCTGTACAGGAATGGAAACAGCCGCTGGACCACCCAAAATTTAGATTTCGAAACAGCCTGTGAAACCATTTCACTCACTTGTCACACCATTGATACTGATTTACGCCCCTAATTTAAGCCTGTTCTAGGACCCTCAATATAATAGGCCGATATGGGCCGGAGAAAGGAGATTTCTGACACGTCTGTCGATTCAGTTTATCCTGATATTTACAACTCCATAATGTCCGAACCCACTTAGCTATCGCGTAAGGAAATTACAATACCGATGTGAGTGATCAAACATTTGAAAAGCTGTGAGATCGTAAACTGTTAAATAATCAACATCATATACTATTCTCATGATTTATTGTCCATCCCTTTCGGAGTTTTAATGGCTAATTGCGAGAAAATAAAGCCTTAAGCAAAGTGACCAATAAATTATTGGACTACAAATCAAGTCTTAAGTGCATAATACAGTGGACGGCAGCAGTTTTACTAAGTCCCTCGAGCAAGTATTTTTTTAATCTTCGAAAGCTACAATTACTGCCCAGAGGAGGGCGCGAGAGGGGGTTTTATTTGCTGCTAACGCAACCTACGTAAATGAAAATACGTTTTTCATCAGCCGTGTCTGCGATGACGTATTGATCGTTTTATTGAATAACGTGACTCGACCAATTATTCTTAATTGCTTCGGCTTATACAGTAAACTGAAGGTGTCATTAAATTCAATATATATATATTTATGTTAAACTGTTCATACTATAAAAGAAAGAGCAATCCATCATAACATTTCCCAATTGGGTATTATTCACCTCCCTAACTAGTAACTCTTTTTTAACTCAATATCATGTTTCTCTCGCAAACTGATTATTGACTACTCAGTCATGAATCAAACCTAAGTAGGCGTAAAACACAAAGTACTCAAGGCTAATGTAAGCTAACATATAGCACAAAAAAAATGTCAAGTGCATAATCCTTGTTCATTAACTCCTCCCGCTCCTCTTTATCGACTCTCCCTCTTCTCCACCGTCTCTTCCTCCCTCAACGACGGCGATTCCTTCTACCTGCCTCCACTTTCTTCCTTTTGTTCGTGTGGCGGCTGCGCGGCCAGATAAGGCGCCGGCCACAAATCTCCTGCTTGCGGGGGGGCCGCCGCATAAGATCACAAGATACCCCATCATAGCTCACGACACGAAATATCCGCCGAGGGGTCTCGTCATCCTGTAAATATTTGTGAATGACCTGCCTCTCCCATGAGCGGGCAGGCGAAAAGGCTATTCTTCAAGACGGCAGACACCGAGGGATTGGCTTAGTCATCTTAGTAATTGATTTGTCAAGTGGCTTTACAGCGCTCCGTTAAATGCTCGCCGAAGTTTTATCGTCTGTCCGATGACATCAGTCTTTGCACTATGCAAATGGCCTGTCTCTAACGGGTTATTATCTTCATCTCAGCCCTACGAGTTTCTTTTTTTGAGGCTTGTAAGGTACTGCCGGACATTCCTCAACCACACTCTTCTTCCCAAGAACTCTAATATCAATTCTTCTTAGTTTACGAAAATAATAGCCGTGGAAAACTTTCATAAACTACAATGGTGACATAAATACCTGAACATTGCAAAAAGTCATTAAGATTATTTTATAACCTTATAAGAATATTTTATAACCTTCAACAATTAATAACTTTGATCGATTAATTTTTTATTAAATTCATTATATCAGTGTAAAATTAAGCAGTTTTAAATAAAATGGAGTTTTTATTCTGATTGATGTTCTCTAAGAGGGCTTAAATGGCTAATTTTCAATATTAGCTTCCCCTAAAGTACCTTTAATTTTTTTTATTTGAAACAATTGACTATTTCACATTAATGCCTAATATAAAATATAGTTAAATATAAAATATGAAAGAATTTGATAATTAACTAAAGGAGAAATAAAAAATCGTAACGGAGAATAGTTGTAATTGACCGCATCCAAGCTCGCCCGAAAGATTGTAACAGGCTTCCATACGTAACATGAGCTTAATATAATACAGATTCCGACTATATTATATAAATATAAATACGCATGCAATATCATAAATGCAATTTTTAGTATTATTTAAAATTTAATTGTACAGATTACACCGATATAAATATTAAAATTTGTATACATGAGGGTACTTATACAAATAAAAATACCCACAATGAAATTTAAATAATTATAGCACCTATAATTTTTACTTTCACTTCTCCTTCGTCTGAAAATACTTATTTCTCCTAAGAGGATAATAAGTGAAAGTTGTGTGATGTGCGCACCACACTAGATTTTTTAAAAACAGCCGGATGAGTTTTGTTAATATTTTTAGCTGCTGTACAATAATATTGATACACTCTTTATATATTCTGCAACAGGTGCCTTTTAATCAACACTTGTGGACAAAATTTATGGTTCTATAATAACCTCAGAATAATATAAAAAAGAACAATCAAACACATAAAGAGAAATCATAACGTAACTTATAATAACACCAAATAAAAAAATAAAAAACAAGATTTAAATACAGATTCATAAACACAATTGTTTAAAATTATTTTTCAATAGGACGGATAGGAAGTAGTTAATCAGGCGAGATTTAAATGTGGGAGGGTATTGCAGCGAAGGATGTGAGAAAAGATAGAATTACATAGGGACCATTATCGAATAATGAATGACCAGGCGAATGCCGCGACCCGAATGGCCGTAGTACATATTTCTGAAGACTTCAGTATGGTTCAACAAAGCTTCAATTCATCATAAAAAAATTGTATAATATTTATATAGAATATAGGCATAATATTGTATATTAATTTAAAAAAACAATGTTGATGGCACATGGCTCTGTCTTCTAGGTAATTTTATTACTTTTATTTTCTTATAAACAACGTAGGCGGAAGCAAAATAAGACAATTTATAGTTCAAATGGAATTACTTAATAATCTGCTTCAGGTTTTTTTACATTGTTTCCGAGGTTTGAAAGTTCAAATAAATTGAAAGCACACAAAAATACAATTCCTAACAAAAATTTATGATCTTGTCACAATGCCCCCTCCCGAAAAATTCAAAACCTCGTCAAAATGTGTTTCAAAAAAGTGATTTATTATAAATCCACTCTATTATAAAGAGCAATTTAATACATTGATCATCAAAGTTCAAGAATGTATTCTTCAATATGAAAGAAAATAAATTTTCATTTTTACGATTCATCACACTAGGGTAGCCGTACGGGCTAAGGCGCTTGCTATAGGTTATCAAAGTTAAGCAACGTCGAGCGTGGTTAATACTTGTTTGGGTGACCGCCCGATTTGGGTGACCGTCCACCAGGTAAAATACCATGCTGCCCGAGTGTCTTCCCCACCCCGTGTATGTGAGACCCGTCAGTCTATTGGAGGCAACTCACACCGACCGGGCGTAGGACTGATGACCCTACCCTGTGTACTTAATCGGGAATTGAGATGTGGCATACCAAGATGTTAGTAGCCGCCCTGAGGTTCGGTCCAAGAACAGTCTGTTTCGGAGAAAGAAATATAGGTCCTCGTGCGCCTGACTCCGAGCAGTCATAATACATGGATCTAGACCGATTTGTCACTGTCATATATATATATATATATATATATATATATATATATATTATATATATATATATATATATATATATATATATATATATATATATATATATATATATATATATATACATAAATGTATGTATGTTTTCATATGTTAGGTTCTTTCTTTACAAAATGTATAAATATTTTTGAAAATACGTTAACAGAGCTATTGCATATATTACATATTTTTATCTTGTTTTAGAGGTTGGAGGGAGAAAGATGAATCTTCAATTATCCGAAACTTCAAATTTGCCGCGATAAAACCCACATAAAAATGATAAATTACACATTAATGACTCATAAAATCCTGGGATATGTTGCTACATACGATTATCTTTGAATATAAATTTTGATTTCAATAACAGAAACGTAGGGCGTAGGAAGATACTTACGTACCCATTTTTAGGGCTTAGCTTAGCCATCTAGTCGACTTTTCCTATTTCCTTAATTGATTTTAATATACACATTTCATTCATTCCTATAGATTAATTGTATAGATTTTGATTATTTTTTCTTCGAAATCTTTGAGGGAGGGGGAGAGACAATATTTTGGCCCCCACTATTTGCGGGAGAATTTTCCTCACCCACCTCCCTCCGAAGCCTGGAAGTGTTCTTTGGACATCTCGCAGGTCGGAGAATCAAGTCCACTTAGTAGATAGGCACGCGATAATTCGCAATGACCTTAATATACAGAGGTCTGTCTCTCCTTTCCTGGAGGATGGATAAGACGTTTCTCATTTTAAACAGTGGGTTTTTATTTCCCTTGAAAAAAAATGGGTAATAATGTACTCATCGAGTCCGTTACCACGGCCCAATTGGTAGCTTCAGCTGTCTCTATGTACATAGAGCTTCTGTTACCAATACTAATTCACCATTAAATACTGACCAAGCCTCCTGGAGTAGAAATAGTTTTTGTAAATGAGAATTTAGAACGAATCATTTTACATCCTTATCTACTTTTGAAGCATCCGTATACAAGATACACTCATTGTATTCATCCAAATTTGCTAAAAATAATTTTGTACTTCGACTGGAGGCGCCATATCCTTCTTACCTCTTGATTGAGGAATCTATAATTGGTGAGGCATGGGTTTGTTGGAGGATAGGTCGATTATTATATCAGGAACATCCAGAGCATTTCCTATGTTTAAATCCGAAAAATTATAGGATTTGTTTTTACATTGTAATTTAGTTTAATACTTATGAGTGAACTAAATGTCCCAGAATAAAGATAAATGTTTATTCATATTCTGGAATTAAGTATAAACCAGAGAAATCAGAATTTTAGAGCTGACTTTTTTTATAGTATTTTAATCATAATTGACCTCCCACGTCGAATACTTAAATATTGTAAACATATAAAATAACAAACTGATATATTCAAATATATGAGAGACTTTATAACTGTGCGACAACTAAGTGTTATTCTGAATGCAAACATAAGATAGAAATCTAAGTAGGAAAGGAAACATATGTATTAGTGCACTGACATGTAGGTGGACAGCCGGATTACATACCAACTACTGCCCTACAAACGCACCTTATAGTAAATGTAATATAATGTTATAGTAAATATAATAAAATATAATATAAACACAATGTAATATAATATAATATAATATAAATATAATATAATATCATAACCTAATGAGTCGTCCAAACATTGCTATTACAATGGGAATATAAGCAGGATAATAAATAAAAATATTTTTTTTAAAAACCTAATTGTAAAAATTGTATATATTTTATCACCATTTTATTATTGGCGGTTCCACAGTTATAGCTTAAAAAAGTTTGAATATGTGTATTAATAATAAAAATAAAAGGCTGTGCGAACCCGAAGGTTCGATGCCGACACCACCAATCGCTTATTACACACATCCCTCCACCGTTCGACGTCGAAACCCATTCCCTTCAGATCGGCTTTAACGATCTTCCCATCTTCGCTTCGGTCTACACCTCGGGCGTTTGCCATTCGGTACAGCAAATATTAACCTTTTAGGAATTCTTTCGTTACTGAGCCAAAAAATTTTACAAGCCCAATATATGTAACAGTTAAAAAAATGAAATATAACTATTAAATACAATGAAAGTGTGTATATTTAGAAAAAAGGCTTTAATTAACTTTTTACCATTAGAATCCAGTCAATTCCAAAAATTGCGTTTGCTAATATATTTATTATATTTGTTCTGTTTTTTTGGGGAGGGGCGTATAATAGATTTTATCGATTTTTATAATTCTGTTTATTAAAAATAACACGATAAAGTTCCGTCGACTGCAATTGAGGACTGTTGGAGAAAGGGAAGTGCCATTCTTTCTTTTTTTTCATTCATTCATTCACAACATTCCCCCACCTAAGTGAGTTATAAAATTTCTTGTATAATTCCTTCTATCAAAATATTCATTACATCTTCCTTTTAAATTTGTTTTATAAATATACTACTAATCGATGACCTAACTTCAGAATATTCTCAAAGAAAATGACAAAAGACCTCTAAAATCTTACTACGACAAGCAGTCTAGCCTACCTCCTCAAAGATTCCTAGGAAATAATAATTGCTACAACACCTCTTATCCATCAAGAAGTGCCAAATTATTATGGTAATATATCAGATTTTATAACTATTGTTATAGGTTATCAGATTATATAGTAAAATCAAGAATTGGCCAAATATGGATCCCAATCCTTTAGTTGTTTTCTCCTTCTTACATTTTTTTGTGAATAATCACTGTAAACATTCAAAAATCTAACCATATTTCCTAACTCATCCAGAGTAGATGGATTGGGATATGAATAGCGACAGGCGAAGATCTGGCCGAGAAATTTGCCAAACATTTTTCGTGAACATCCCACACCTACCATAAGAACAG